TATCACAGCCTCTTACCACCGAAATCCCAACACTGATCTCTGTCCAACTCGTAGCTAAGTCTCCAGTCTGAGTAAGAAGAGGATGAAAAATGAGTTTGAAGAAGAAGAAGAAGAAGAAGAGTATGAAGACGAAGAAGCACAAGAAGGAGAGGAAGAGGAGGTAGCAGAGGAGGAGGGAGAGATGGTGAGGTAGGGAGGAGGAAGAGTCCTCACTACCCTGTCCTGGCCTGAAGCCTTACCTACAGGATGCAACGTGGCACCTTGAATAGAAGTCTTCTGCAGTCAAAGCCCTCTGAAGCTATGGCGCCACGGGTAAGTGCCAGGTAAGTACCTCGCTCGCTCTCTATCCCGAACTGCAGTCTAGCGCTAACCTCGCGCTGCTGCTGTAGCGCTGCGCTCTAACAGAAATAGCGCAGCGCTCCTCCGAAATGCTGCTGCTCCAGAATGCCTGGGAAGGCGACCTCCTGGTACCTAAGTACCGGTGTGGAAGGCCGGCCTCTATGCTGCGAGGCCGAGCCGTGATCTGAATCGTCAAAATTGACGATTCAGATCAGACCGGCGGGGGGCAGCCTCAAGAGCGCCGCTAGGCCCAACGGTAAGGTCGTTTGGGCCTGGCCGTCTGGTCTGGTCCTAATTGTGGCCTAAAGGCCAACGGGTGGGCCTACAGTGGCGCCTCCGGTCTAAAGGTCCGGCCTTGGGCCTGGACCGGCCTCCGAACGCCTATCTGTCTGGCCTAACCGGGCCCGTGTGACACAGTGTGTAACACACTCCCCCCCTTAAAAGACTGAGCTACCTGCGAGGGCGAAGTTGTCTGTCGGATACCGGGGTGGGTCGGGTGGGACGAGCTTTGTCCATGGCAAGTCTTGGAGTTTCGTAGTCGGAGAAGATGAGAGGTGCAAATGCCTGTAAGTCTGCGCGGGAGATCCAACAGGTGTCATCCGGGTCACATTGCTTGAAAGTGACTTGGTATTGCATTGGCTTGTTGCCAAACTTGCGGTGCCTGATGACACGGTCAACTTCCTGATGGCCGTCCATAGAGGGCGGATCCTGTGATCGTCTGCCCGGGAACTCGTCTGCAGATGGTGTCGTGTAGATGGCCAGCTTCGACGCATGGAAGACCGGGTGCACATGGAGGTGTGGTGGGATGGCAATCACAAAGGAAGGACCTGCAGGGTCGTCGCCTGCTGCAGAAGTTATCTTCCATGGTCCAAACCATTTCGGGAGGAGTTTGCGCGAGACGTCCTGCTCGAGCGCGAATTCCCCAGCGAGGACCCAAACAAGGTCTCCCTCGCGGAAAGGACATGGGAGTCGACGTCGTTTAGCTTGCTGCTGCATGCGGATTTGAGCCTTTTGCATGTTCGCGCGGTCTTTGATCAGCAAGTCCCGGTACTTCCGGACGGAAGCGGGAGAGCAAGCGACGTCTATGTCGGCGGCCCGTGGTAGAAGAAGATCGACGAAGACTCGGGCCTTCTCTCCACCGTGATGTAACTCAAATGGAGTGAGGCAGATTGCCGGATGCACCAAAGTGTTATAAGCGAACTTGATGTCGGGAAGCCGGGCAACCCAATCTTTCTGGTCGGGACGAATGAGTTTACGCAACATCATTTGAGCGGTCTGATGCGCTCGTTCCGACTGTCCATCTGTCTGCGGGTGTCGTGTGGAACTCGGCTTCATAGTCAAACCGGACTCCGTCATGAGGGAAGTCCAAAAGGCAGACATGAAACGACTGTCTTTGTCGCTCACAATATCTTCCAGAACACCATGGGCGGTAATCCAGCCGGTGTGCAAGAGTCGAGCGAGCTCGGGGGCTGTAGCACGATACTTGCATGGAAGAAAACGAGCGTGCTTGCTCAAATGGTAAACGACCGTGAGAATCCCGTCATGATCGAGGCGATCGCGGGGGAACGGGCTTGTAACATCCATAGCAATGGAGAGGCGAGGTGCCCGAGGAATCGGCATCGGTTTCAATTCGCCATAAGGGACCGTAGATCGACCTTTGTTACGATGGCAAACTGCGCATGACTCAATGTACCTCGTGACGTCGTGAAGAACGTCGGGCCAGTGAAAACGTTGGCGGAGGCGGGCCAATGTGCGGGTCACGCCAAGGTGTGTCGAAAGTCGTGCATCGTGGAATTCGCCGAGAAAACGAGTCCGTAAGATGCGACTTTGGGGCACCACTAACAAGTCCTTCCCTCTCGTGTTGAGAAGTAGGAACCCGTCGGAGATATGATAATGACCAGTCGGCGGGTGATCTGATGAAAGCTCCGTGTATAGCGTAGAGTAAGTCGGATCGGACTTGTAGCCGTTGACGAAATGCTGCTGCAGATCGTCGTCGAGGTCGAACATCGTGGTCACAAGGGCACAAAGATTGGGCCGTCGTGAGAGGGCGTCCGCTGCTCGATTGGCAGGACCGGGGATGTGGCATGGGTCAAAGTCGAACTGGTCGATGTAGTACATCCATCCGCCTATCGTACTAGTGACCGTGTCTTGCGTTTTATAGAAGGTCAACGGATTGTTGTCCATATTCCATTTAAAACGCCGACGACCGAGAAGAAAGTGGC